TACTGGGATACAATTGGAGACGATCTTTGTCGAGAGGTTATGTCTTTCTTCGAAACAACGGTTCTCCCTTCGGGTTGGAATGATACCCATATAGCTCTTATCCCAAAGGTCTCTTCACCTGAAAGAGTTAGTCAATTCCGCCCGATTAGCTGTTGCAATTTCAAGTACAAAATTGTTTCGAAGATTATGGCATCAAGAATCAAACTGTATATGCCCCAACTGGTGTCGGAGATGCAAGCGGCCTTTACCGGAGGTCGGGTGATCCAAGATAATATTGTTATTGTGCACGAGGTTCTGCACCATTTCAAGAATCGGCGTTTGGGGTGCCGCTTCGACATGATGCTGAAAATGGATATGCGAAAGGCTTATGACCTTGTGGATTGGAACTGTTTGGAGGAGCTTCTCAAAGCTTATGGGTTCAATCAAACATGGTGTGGATGGGTCAGAGAATGTATTCAAACAGTTCGTTTTTCTATTCTTCTCAATGGAGGCCCTACGGAGTTCTTTTCACCTTCTCGCGGCATTCGTCAGGGAGACCCACTTTCACCCTTCCTTTTCATTCTTATGTCTAATGCTCTTTCGTTTTTGCTTGAAAAAGGAATGTCATGTAATACGATTCATGGACTTAAGATGAAACCCGAATGTCCACGCTTATCCCACTGTTTGTTTGCAGATGATACTGTAATTTTTGGGAAAGCTTCGCGTGAAGAAGCTGAAGCAATCATGAAGATCATCAACGATTACAAATCAATTTCTGGTCAAGAGGTTAATATGGAAAAATCGTCGATCTTCTTCAGCAAAAATACTCCTTTGGAGCTTCGACAAGAGATCACTTCACATCTGAACTTCTCTTGCACCATTCATCACGACAAATATCTCGAAGTCCCAACTGAGTGGGGGAAGTCGAGAAAAGAAACTTTCTCGTTCTTATTGGAGAGAATGGAATCCAAGTTGAGCTCTTGGAAAAGTATTACGCTCTCTCATGGGGGGAAGGAAACCTTGCTCAAGGCCATCATTCAAGCTATTCCAACGTTTATTATGAGCGTCTTTCTTTTGCCGGCATGTCTCACTAAAAAGATGGACTCTCTTCTTCATCGTTTTTTCTGGTCAGGGTCCACTAAGAAGAGATCGATTCCGTGGAGAAAAGGAGAAGTTCTTACAGATCCCAAAGCGGAAGGTGGGCTGGGGTTTCGGAATTTTCGGTTATTTAATCTATCCCTCCTTGCCAAGCAGGGATGGAGACTCCTTAATGATCCAAATGCATTATGGGCGAGAGTCATCCGAGGACTCTATTTTCCGAATGGAGTGTTCTCTTCAGCACGCAAAGGGAGTTCGCCATCCTGGATCTGGGCGAGCTTGTGCGATTCGAGGAAAGCTTTGGAGCTTGGCACCATTCGTGTCATTGGATCAGGGGAGGACACTTGGTTTCATCGGGACCCCTGGGTTCATACTTTACATCATCATAGGATCTCATCGCATCTGGATCCGCCATCTCATGTTTGCGATTGGATGAATGAAGATCGGAGAAGCTGGAATACCTCCTTGATTCAACGTCATTGTACAGGGGAGGAAGCTGAGGCTATCTCTCGTATTCATATTGGTCCCGTTGGAAGCAAAGACAAATGGGCCTGGAAATTTTCACCTGAGGGTGCCTTCTCTGTGCGATCAGCTTATCATGCCATTAGGAAGCACCAAAAGGAACAGATCCTGGCCGGCTTGGGAACTCCTGATCTCAACATTCCATCGGATGATCAATGTTGGAATTGGCTTTGGTCTCTCAAGTTTCCTCCGAAAATCCGATTCTTTATGTGGAGGTGTATCAGGAATGCATTGGCAACTAAGCTAAATCTGTTTCGACGAAACTGTGCGCCTAATTCTAGATGCCAGTTGTGCAACGCCGAGGAGGAATCTTCTATCCATTGTCTCTTCCTATGTCCTCATGCTGCTGCAACTTGGGATAAGGTGGCTCCTCTTCACTCTCCACCACAAAATCTCTCACATTGGATCTTTGCAATGAGAGAGTTTGAGACTCCTGAGATTATTCGTCAAAAGATCTTCTGTCTTTGGAATATTTGGAAGGCTCGTAATGATTTTATCTTCAGAGGCGCGGTCTTGTCCCCGATTACGACCTCTATCTGTGCTTTCCGTGACGCGGCAGAACCTCACCATGTCGCAATTCCCTCTCCCACCTTCTCTCACCCGCGGGCCATTCCTTCACAAACTTGACAACCGCCAGTTCTTCATCACAGGAGGATTCACTGTGACAGTTCGTTTGATTACGAATCTCAAGAGGCGGCTATTGGAGTCGTTATTACGAACTCTAACAAACAGTGTTGCGATGGAAGGGCGAGAAAGGTTATTTGTTCTTCCCCGATCGAGGCGGAGGCTTGTGCTATTCTTGAAGCGTGTCTTCTGGCAGCAGAAGATCCCATCCCATCCACAATCCTCTCTGATTGCAAGGTACTGGTGGATGCTCTGAATGGTGACCCTTCCACTTGGCCCTGGCGATGCTATGTTATCCTGACAAACATCAAGGGTGTTCTCAATGTGTGTGGTCGGGTCAATCTCCGGTTTACTTGTCGGCGTTACAATAGAAATGCAGATTGGGTTGCGCATAACTGCCGGTGTAACACGCTTCACCCAGAATGGATTTCTGTTCTCAATGTTCTTTCAGAGTATCTGTAATGCTTCACCTGATGTACCTTTACCTTGATCTGGGCTGTTGAATGAATGATACTGTGTTTCAAAAGAAAAAAAAAGTCTATTTATTAACCAAACATTTTTTCGATTTTTTTTAAACCAGACCTATTAAAATACTAATAATTAGCCAAATCTTTACAGTTTTGGCATTCTTCCGTTACCATTCACAGTACTATTGACGAAACCCCACATCAACATTTATGTTGGTGTCCACCTCAGATATCATTAAAATAATTTTTTTTATTTTAACTAATAACAAAAAAGAAAAATCTCACATTATCTACTCCCTCTCTCTCCTCACTACAACCACACACACCCACCCCTTTGTAAACCTCACCGCCGGCCCCTTTCCAAACCCTTCGAAAACCTCCCCTCCATAAATCTCACATTATCGGGGATGGCGATACAGGACATAGCAGGATGTCGACATAATTTTCCGCTCCACAGTCGGTCCCTTTCCACTACCGCTGGACATCGGAGAAAGAATTCCCCCTCGCGCCATCGACGACGACAATCTTCAGGATGTCTACATAATTCTCGATTCTGATTCCCCACCGACAGAGATTTGGGTTCTTGATTGAACGAATTCTGCCAGCCCCGAGAAATCCCCCTTGTCCATCTGCTCCGGATCCTTGGGTTTCTTGACATCGGTGTCGATTAAGCCAATGTGAGGGTGGGAATTGACGCCGAAGAGGGAGAATGTGGATTACTATTCTTTGAACTTGATGTCGTAGAGGCAGAGCTTGTCGTTGTCGGGATTGTTGGTGATGAAGGAAGAGGCAAGGAGAGAGACCTCGAGGTGGAGGTCTTGGAGGCGGAGCTCGGACTTGCCGTGAAGATGTTGGGCATCGAAGAAGAATAGGAGGGAGTAAGGGCGAGGGGCTTTTGTGGAGGACAGGTTAGGAAACGGGAGATGGAATGGTTGTCGAGGTGGATAACGCTAGATTTGGACTGGGGAGAGAAGGTTGGCAACTAAGGGTGGGCAACCGGTTCGGTAAACCCGAACCAAAACCTTTTGAATTAAACCGAACCGAAACTGAAATAATGTTGTTCGGTTTCGAATTCGGAAGGGTTCTTTCAACCGAACCGATTTTCTGAATTTTTTACAAAAAAACCGAAATACTATAATTGCAAGCTCCAAATGGTGGATTTTTATATTTGTAGTTTTTTTTAGACTTAAATATTCGGGTTTTTTTTTTGTGAAAAACCGAACCAAACCGAATTATAATTCGGCTTAAACTGACCAAACTAAATTATAATTATGTTCGAATTAGGTTTGAGGTTTGAGAGAATTCGGGGACCCGATATTCATAATTTTAGTTTGGTCGAAATCGAACCGACCGAATGCCGACCCCTATTGATAACAAGGTGGGAGTTGGCGACGACAATTGTAAGGAGGAGGAAAAAGAATGAGAAGATGGGAGCTTGAGGAGATCGGACAAAAATAATAAAACGGTACCACGTTAGAAAAAATGCCACCTCGGAGATCAATATGCCACCTCAATATCGACTAACGAAAATTCGGATGAAAACTTAACAGTTAACTAATATTTCGTATTTCAATAGGTTTGGATAAAATAAAAAAATCTGGAAAAAAAGTTTGGGTAATAAATAGACATTATTCTTAATTATAAGTTGATATATAAAACTTTGGAAATAAAAAAGAGAAATGTCAAGGGATGATGTGAGAGACACATAGACCAGTACAAATACTCGGCTGGTGTTGGGCATGAATAAGAGTGAGTAATTTAGTTTGCGGTATAAGTTGGAGATCATATGAGCTCAAGTCATTAAAATACTTGATTAAAAAATAAGAATTTAATTATTGCACGAAAAAATCAAAGAAAATAAAATACATTGTGAGTGAAAACATCATCGATAATCAAATTATTCAAGAGATAAATTCAAAGACCCCAAATTATGTGACAAATCACCCAGAAGTTGGCCTAAAGTTACATCCACCTATTTAGCTCAAAATTTAGAGGGGAGAAATTAACTGGACAAAACCGAGTACCATGTTTGTTTTTCGAGATGGTTTAAGTATGAGAAAATTTTCAGAGTGTATATAATAGAAAAACGGTTTATACTCTCAAAAGTCAAGACAAAGATTTATGTTTCGATAATTTCAATGAGTTTTTGTACCGGAGAAAAATCAAAACAAGGACAATAAACCGAAATAAACAAATCAAATTGAAAGCTGAAATTGGTAGGTCATATATTTCGTAATATTCGCACCTGTAAATCATAGAAATCAAATTCTTATACAGTATAAGCACACCAAATTAAAAGGGAATTACCAACAGTTTTACTACCATCATCTCAATTCTTACAGCCACTAATCCCGTGGAGGAAGAAGCAGTAAAAAATGAAGGAGCAAACTACCCGCGCTATGTGGTGGAGATCGCCGTCTTTCATCCTCGACAATCGGCAGCAGCAGCCAAACGACACCGCACGAGGCGACGCCCTCTCCATCCCGCTCTCCTCTCCGCTACCTCCCTCCACCACCATGGCTGATCCTAACCCTAATCCCAATCCAAATCCCCTCACCGACAAAATCTCCGCTTACTACCAGACCCGCGCCGCCCACCACGGCGTCGTCTCCAGCGACTGGCTCGCCCAGGCTCAGGCCGCCGTCGGCCACCTCCCCGAAGCCGACGACGATGCCAGTAATAACGACCAGGGAGCTCCTTCGGGCAAGCCGTTCAGCGTCATCGACGAGTTCAACAATTGGCGGAAACAGCCCGACTTGGCCGAGGCCGTCGCTGCTATCAGGGCTCTTGCCGCCGTCATTCGGAATAGCCAGGCTACGACCATGATGGAGCTCGAGATTGAGCTCAAGAAGGCCTCTGACTCCCTCAAGGTTAGTTCCTTCCGTTTTCTTGCGCGACTCTCTTGAGTTACTTTGTCAGAATCAGATTGGCGTTCTGCATTTCTTGGAGCTAGGATGAGAAAATAGTCGAGAACCAGACTAGCTATTTAGGAAGAAACTACTTTCTGCTCAGCAACGCTTAATTAACATCCTAGTTTTGCTTAGCATACACTTCTTGATATGCAAATTTTGAATTTTGATGGAAAAGCTGATAAGGGGATGCCTTTGTTCCTCGAGTGATTATATAATCTGTTAGATGGAGTGGTGATTCATAATTTGGTTGTTGATGGAGGTGAAATAATAGGTGAACCAAATGTGTCTTGATCTCGAAATCTTGTGTGGCAATGTTTCAAGTTCTCTAAATCCATGATTGTTCTTACTTGCACTGCAAAATTCCTGAAGTTTTAGTTCCTCGTGCCTCTGATTACATGCTTCCTTACTTCTGTGATTCAATCTTATCACATGCCGCTGATCAAATGTTGTCTTGTTATTTTACCATATGATTGGGAATGGATCATATCGATATCAAGTTGTCATTAACCAAACTTACTACTGAAATAAACTAATATGCATGAGTGGCTGCCTCTTTTATCATGATCACTAACTAAACCTTGGGTGTCCAGTCCTGGGACACAACATCAATATCTTTAACTGCAGGATGTGATCTGTTCATGCGATATGTAACCAGAACTTCAGCCTTGGAGTATGAGGACTTCAATTCGGCTAAGACCCGCTTGATTGAACGAGCTGAGAAGTTTGGCGAGATATCGTACAAGGTGGCCATTCTAGCTCCAAGACGCAATCCATTAGTTTCTTTTTAAGCATTTTGAACTTTGAATTGGTATTCACAGAGACTGACTGGTTGATTTGTCTGCAGGCACGTAAGATCATTGCGATGCTTAGCCAAGATTTCATCTTTGATGGTTGTACAATATTGGTTCATGGCTTCTCGAGAGTTGTGTTGGAAGTTCTGAAGACTGCAGCTCAAAGTAAAAAACTGTTTCGAGTTTTCTGCACAGGTATGCTTGAAACTCACTGCTGCACGTTGTTAGAGATTGCCCTGTGTGTTAAATTTTAAGAAGCTCTTACATAGCGCCTGACTCTCTCATAGACTCTTATATCTTTGATCATTTGACTACCTCTTTCGATTATGTAATTTCATGTCCTGAACTCTGCATTAGAGATGTTAACTAGCATATTTTCCTTCTCTTGCAATGCATGTTATCATTCTGTCATTCAGCAATTCAACTTTGACTGTCTCTACTTTCTTCTTCTTGTCATCGACTGACATCCCTATATGTATTAAACTGTAGAGGGAAGGCCGGACAGAACAGGATTAAGGTTGTCTAATGAGCTAGCCAAGCTTGATGTCCCGGTGAAGCTCCTTATAGACTCCGCTGTTGCCTACTCCATGGATGAGGTGGACATGGTGTTTGTTGGAGCCGATGGAGTGGTGGAAAGTGGAGGTATAATCAACATGATGGGGACGTATCAGATTGCCCTCGTGGCCCACAGCATGAACAAACCTGTTTACGTGGCAGCTGAAAGCTACAAGGTAATTTCTTGTTACTCCCCTGCATACTATAACTTGCTTATCTGGAATTATTCTAAACACATTTGTCTTTTGCTTGTGATAGTTATGCTCTTATGTTATGTTGGTTTTGCAGTTTGCTCGTCTGTATCCACTAGACCAGAAGGACATGGGTCCTGCCTTACGCCCCATAGAGTTTGGAGTGCCAATTCCATCGAAGGTAGAGGTTGAAACATCTGCTCGGGATTATACGCCACCTCAGTATCTTACTCTGCTGTTCACTGATCTCGGTGTACTAACGCCATCGGTAGTCAGTGATGAACTGATTCAGCTGTACTTATAAGTGGTTGATGATTTTGGTATTGTTCTTCTTGTCATGGAAAGTGTTGGGAACTGCTGCTTACTGTGGATTCTTACTGATAAAAGTGATGAATAGTCGGGTAACTGCAGTTGGAACTTGGGGGGAAGTAGCTGTTTCCCCTTCTAAATTCGTTGACTGTGTATGTGAGGGAAATTTTGTGATTCATGAAATGGCTGATTGTGAATTGTGATTGGAAGAAGCGTGGAATGAGATGAAGAACAGTGATGATAGTCTTACTTTTATCTGGTCTTTCAATGGGGTTTGTGGGTTGGTGAGATGGTTCAAGACGTAATTGTTTGAGAAGAAAGCCAAAGCCTTTATGAATAATACTTGCAGACACTTTTAAGATGCATTATGCGTATTTGTGTCTCTCCTTCATTAATCTTACATCATGCGCCTCGCTTCAGAAACACAAACAACCTCTGAGCTCGGTCAGTCCCATCAACATCGGAAACGTGCTTAGCTTCAACCCATTCTCTGAAGAAACTTGCGGCAGAGCAGGATTAAGGTTGTCCAATGAACTGGACAAGCTCGATGTCGCAGTCAACTGCTCGTAGTTGTAGACTCTGCTGCAGTGCTGTGAGTTACTCTACGGGACGAGTTGGACATGGCGCTGTAGCTTTTGGTATTCTTCTGCTGCGATAGCTGTAACAAGGAGCTTATGCTTACTGAATATCTATTGATATATGTGATCAGTAAATGCTGATTCAAGTACTTCGATGTAGCCTAACATAGATTTGATCGCGTGGTTGTGACGTCAGACTTTGAATCTACCAAACCTAAACTATTTACTTTCACAAATTCCCAATCACCTCTCTCCTCGCTTTCCATGTTAGAGAGTGGTATAAGATCCAGCGTAACCTTCTCCCAACAACTCGAGTTATTGGGAGCAACTGGTTCTTGACATGGTATCAGAGCCTAGAACCGAAAGGTCATGTGTTCGACTCTCCACGACCCCCAATATTAACCGATGTCTTTCAAGCACATGGTATGGTGGGCCTGTGCAAAACTTCAAGCCCATGGGTTGGCTTTCATTTGAGGGGGGTGTTAGAGAGTGGTATAAGATCCAGCGTAACCTTCTCCCAACAACTCGAGTTATTGGGAGCAACTGGTTCTTGACACTCCATTCCCGATTTACATCATCAATAATCCATCCTCGAAACCACGCACAGAACTCACGCCTACCCTTCCCTTTGAATCAAATATAATATGCCCCTCTACTATGACGTTTTATCAAACATGCCCCTCTACTATTTTTTACATCAAATATGCCCCTGTACTTTGAAAAAATTATCAAACATGCCCTTCTGTTAAAATTTCCATTGAAAAAATCGTCAATCATTGTTGAATTGAGATTTAGACGACCCGACATCGGCAAATGGGATGGAAAATGTCAGTTTTGTCCCCTGTTTTATTTCTTTGGGTCTTTTCAAAGTGAAATATTTGAATGATTTGATTATAAAAAAGAACCAAAAATTCTAAAGTGAATTTATTAGGGATATTTTAGTCATTTGTGTCGCGCAAACTAAAGTTCGGCGTTGGTTAACGGTTTTTGGATGAAAATTTTAACAAAATGGCATGTTTGATAATTTTTACAAAGTACAGGGGCATGTTTGGTGTAAAAAATAGTAGAGGGACATATTTGATAAAACGTCATAGTAGAAGGGCATATTGTACCTATAACCCTTTCAATTTTCACATAAATAATTAAATAGGTGACAGACAGCAAAGAGCTACTCCAAGTCTCACCCCCATTTGGCCATTTCAAATCCTAATCGCCCATCTGCTTCACATCTCATCCTCGTCAAGCCAAGCACTCATCTTGCAGTTGGCGCACAGGTAATGAATCCTGAACCATTTGCTGGCTCTTGTATTTGTTTGCATGCAAAGTCCAAATTAATTTATGGAAATGTTTGCATATCAAGTTGCTGCATATGAGGATGTGATAATGTGTTTTGGATAGAAATAGAGTGGATGGCAAAGTTGCTGCATATCAGGGTGTGATAATATGATTTGGATTAATTATTATAATTCTTTCAACAATTGGTATTTGTTTCTAAGCAGCAGAGGACCCGCAGAGCAACTGCTGAAAAAAAAAAAACATTGCTATATATTTGAGTGCTAATCCATTGACATATTTTTGTTTTTGTCAAATATCCTCCTTAATTGGTTAAATGTGCTACATGCAATCAGATTTATTGTTATTATTAGTATTGAATGAATTAAGCTGGTCTCTACTAGCAATTGTATATGTGATAGATTCATTTGTTCTTTATCATCTGCTATGTTTACTTATTTATATTTAGGTCATCATGTGATGTGGATTTGTGTTGAATGAAGATGCAGATTGCAAAAACCTGATGAACCGAGGTTTGAAGTTGCTTGGAGAAATGGGGATGTAAATTGGAAGAGTCTAGGTTTTGAGGAATGTCCAATTGAAGCTTGAGAATTGCAGCAGTGTTGATCTTCTGTTTTTTTCCTTTTTGCTTCAGTTTAGAACAATTGGTCGTTCAAATTTGCAAGTATTTTTATTTTGGTTTTGGATTTGAGTTGTCTCGAGTAGGTAAATATATTTATATTTGTTTTAAAAGGGTAAAATACATCGAGTGCCACTAAAGTATGAGAATTGTGGGAGTCATACCACTTAAGTATGAATAGGGTGTCGGATACCATTGATTTCACAGAATTGTGCATCCGTTCAAAATTCCTTCCATCTACCGTTAAGAATGAATAAAATATTATTTTTGGTCAAAAAAATTAAAAAATATTATAGAAAAGGAAGAAAAAAACAAGTTTTCCTCTTCCAAACTGCGTCGCTTTCCAGCGACGATCTGCCCGACGTCGATCTCACCATTGATTGCTCCCCCTGGCACTGTCCACCACCTCTCGCGCCGCTGTAGCTGTTGATTTTCAGGTGCTAGGTTAAGAATTTGGCCGAAATGTACAGAGTCAGTAGTAAGCTGCTCTGCATCCTTTTATATCAGCTTGCAATTGGGTTTACAGATAATAGCCACTTGTCACATCTCGACTGGCTGTGTTTAAATAAACACTGTTCTTTAACGGCTAATACTAGAATTAGGATAAAACGGTGCGCAGCACCACTAAAGCAAATAAGCCTCTGGAACTCTACTCGAAACGTTTCTCCAGCAGGAGTTTCGAGTCTTCATCTTCTTTTTTCTTCTGCAGAGTAGTTCTTCTGCTTTCTCCACTTCATTTCTTCAATGGACTCTGTCACCCCCCTTCAAGTTGTGGCAGGAAGGATGACTCCCAACTTGGACAACAGATCCTTTAGCCTTGCTTGCTCCAATCCTTTTGTGAATATGTCTGCTAACTGATTAACAGTGCTCACATGTTCAAGCTTGATCAAACCTGTCTTGATCCTTTCCCTTGTAACATGTATGTCGATTTCTATGTGCTTCGTTCTCTCATGAAAAACAGGATTCTCAGCAATGTGTATGGCTGACCTGTTATCACAGAAAACAGTGATTGGTAGTGGCACTCTTACACTCAACTCTTCAAGCAAACCTTTTAGCCATTGGATTTCACAAACTGTTATTGCCAATGCCCTGTACTCTGCTTCAGATGATGATCTTGAGACAGTGGTTTGTTTCTTAGTCTTCCAGGTAAGAAGTGATTTTCAGAAAGGTACAATAGCCAGTTGTAGACCTTCTGGTGTCTGGACAACTTGCCCAATCAGAATCACAAAACCCTGTTAACTTCAGTTCAGCATTGCTGTCAAAGTGAATTCCTTGACCTGGATTACTCTTCAAATACCTTATAACTCTGTAGGCTGCTTGAAGATGCTCCTCATGTGGTTTCTTTTGAAACTGACATAGCTGTTGAACAGCAAATGACAGGTCTGGTCTGGTGATTGTGATGTAGTGTAATCTCCCCACCAATCTTCTATACTGCTCTGGATCTGTCAATGGTTTTCCTTGTGCTGCTGAGAGTTTTACCTTGTAATCAACTGGTGTCTGACACCCTTTTGCATCAAGGTAACCTGTTTCTTTCAGCAACTCTAGGCAATACTTCCTCTGACACACACTTATTCCACTTGCTGTCCTATTGATTTCCAAGCCCAGGAAATACTTTAATGGACCAAGCAACTTCATCTTGAACTCTTGACTCAGAACCTTCTTCACTTGTTCTATGTCTTTCAGAGCATCTCCCCCTACTATTATGTCATCTACATAAACTAGTAACACCACAATTCTGCCTCTAATCCACTTGGTAAATAGAGAATAGTCTGATGCTGATTGACTGAATCCATTCTTCAATAGAAAGCTGCTCAGTCTAGCAAACCACTGTCTGGATGCTTGCTTTAATCCATATAAGGATTTCTTCAGTCTGCAAACCATTTTCTGTGGTCCTGATGTTTCCAAATCCAACCCTGGTGGCAGCTGCATATATACTTCCTCATTTAATTCACCATGTAGGAAGGCATTTGAAACATCCATTTGTTCCAATGACCAATTCCTCACTGCTGCAATAGCCAGTAGAGCCTTCACTGAGTTGATCTTGGCAACTGGGGAAAATGTGTCTAGGAAATCAATCCCATACACTTGTGTGAATCCCTTTGCAACCAATCTCGATTTAAACCTTTCAAGAGAACCATCTGGCTTGAGTTTGATCTTATAAACCCATTTATTTCCAATCACCTTCTTTCCTTCAGGCAGTGGAACTATGTCCCAGGTTTGATTGGCTTCCAATGAGTCCCACTCTTCTCTCATAGCCCTTCTCCAGTGTTCATATTTGATGGCTTCTTGATAGGTCAGTGGCTCTTCCTGGTGGATAATGCTTAATGCATATTTCCTGTCAGCAGAGTTCAATTGATCCACATTCAGTGCAATAGGGTACCTACTGACAGCTGCATTCTGTCCAGAAGCACCAAAGGCACCAAATTGTAAACTAGGATCCAGTTCACAATCACTATACTTGCTAGGTAGCTGGTAGTTCCTCTTGGGTCTAGTAGGTTGTGGTGGTTCATACTCCTGTTGAGGTTCCAACTCAGGTTCAAACTCAGGCACTTCATATGAGTTGTCCAGTTCATCCCCCTCATCAGCTGAGATTGGATCAGTATCAGAAGACAAGGGAGGCTGAGGGACTGGATTAGAAGTGCTAGGGATGACCAGATCAGGAGCAGTAGTAGGAGGGGTAACAGGAGTAGAAATAGGATCAGGGGTAGGGGGAGAAGTAGACTGATGATTTTCAGTTCTAAAGGGGAGAATAGTTTCATAGAAAACCACATCCCTGGAAATTAAAACCTGATTTGTATGAATGTCTAGTAGTTTGTAGCCTTTGATCCCTGGTGGAATGCCTAGCATTACACATTGTCTGGATCTGGGGGAGAACTTAGTCCTGCCAGGTAAGGGAGTTCCAGCATAGACTAAGCTACCAAACACTCTCAGGTTGCCAAGGTAGGGTGGTTTCTTATAGAGTACTTCAAAGGGTGATAAGTTGTTAAGAACTGGAGTTGGCATTCTAATAATCAGGTAGACAGAATGAAGAATGCAATCACTCCAATATTGCAAGGGAATCCCAGATTGAAATCTGAGAGACCTGGCCACATTTAATATGTGTTGGTGTTTCCTTTCCACCCTGGCATTCTGCTCAGGTGTGTAGACACAAGACATTTGGTGTTCAATGCCTTCACTGGTAAAGAAATCACACATATTAAATTCTTGCCCCTGATCACTTCTAATA